AGACACACAGGGACGCACAGAGACACACAGGGACACACAGGGACACGCAGGGACACACAGCACACAGAGACACACAGAGACACACAGAGACACACAGAGACACACAGAGACGCACAGAGACACACATAGACACACAGAGACACACAGAGACGCACAGGACACACAGAGACACACAGAGACACACAGAGACACACAGAGACACACAGAGACACACAGAGACACACAGAGACACACAGAGACACACAGAGACACACAGAGACACACAGAGACACACAGAGACACACAGAGACACACAGAGACACACAGAGACACACAGAGACACACAGAGACACACAGAGACACACAGAGACACACAGAGACACACAGAGACACACAGAGACACACAGAGACACACAGAGACACACAGAGACACACACAGACACACAGACACACACAGACAAACACAGACACACACAGACACACACACAGACACACACACAGACACACACACACAGGCACACACACAGACACACACAGACACACACAAACACACACAGACACACACAGACACACACAGACACACACAGACACACACACAAACACACAAACACACAAACACACAAACACACAAACACACAAACACACAAACACACAAACACACAAACACACAAACACACAAACACACAAACACACAAACACACACACAAACACACAACCACACACACAGAGACACACACACAGAGACACACACAGACACACACAGACACACACACACACACACTCCTAACACGTTTCGTGACCCCCCTCCTCCGTTTCGCCTGCCTCGCGGTATTCTGCAGCTGCCTTTTTTTTGAGGGGGGGCTTCCTGTGTTCTCTTGGACAGCTCTTGCATGCCTCTTGGAAGGTACGCGCGGCCTAGATTGGCTGCTTTGGCCTCTTGGGAACTTCTCGGTGCCTCTCGGATTCTTTGAGAGATCTCGTGGGCTCTTGAGGCAGATTGCAACCACGGAGAGGGTTCGGGGCCGTCTTGGGGCCGCGGAGAGCATTGGGAAGGAAAGGTAGGTTGACCGTTCTTTCAACGGGTGATGCTGCAAGATGGGCCGCCTCTGCACAACAAGTCACCCCTAACATGCCCCTCCATAGGCGCCATGCCACCCCTCAGCAGAACCTCGGCGCAGCGGCACTTTTGCTTTGCACCTATCGCTCGGGCATTACCGACGAGTCCGAATCCGGTTCGGCCCAGGCTGTTTCGGCTCCGAGCAGTTCGGATCAATGTTTTCCGTGTGCCCCCTGCCTGAAGGGCCCCCCCCCGATCTACCTGATGGAGCTGTGCTGTGCTGGGCGGAACTCGAAGTCCGACCACCTGGTGGAGTACCCGCCTCCCCGCGGAGAATTCCCGCTGCTCCCCATCACGCTGCCGCGCACCCTTGAGGCCGCCAGGTCGATGCCCGTCGACGCGCGCACGGTGTTCATCTGCTCCTACCCAAAGACTCACAGGGCAGGTGATTGGAGCACAGTGGCAAGGGACGAGGGTACTGCGGGCAGGGGGAGGAGGAGGAGGAGGAGGAGGAGGAGGAGGAGGAGGAAGAGGAGGAGGAGGAGGAGGAGGAGAGGGATGGGGGAGAAAGTGGACGAGGATGATGATGATGATGCTGATGATGATTATGAGGAGGATGGGGAGGAGGAGGAGGTTTCAGGATGATGATGCTGTAAATGGTGATGCTGCTGATGATGACGACGACGATGACGATGACGCTGACAATGCCGATGACGATAATGATGACGATGCTGATGCTAATGATGATGATTCTGATGATGATGATTGTGATGCTGGTGATGATGGTGATGATGATACTGAGGGCGAGGCTGATGATGATGCTGAGGGTGATGCTGATGATGCTGATGATGATGAGTATGACGATGCTGATACTGATGATGATAATGATAATGATGATGTTGCTGCTGCTGATGATGATGATGACAATGCTGATGCTGATGCTGACGATGATGACGCGATGATGATGACGATGATGATGATGCTGATTATGCAGATGATGATGGTAAGGATGACGATGCTGATGGTGACGATGATGGTGGTGATGATGATGGTGATGGTGATGCCGACGACGACGGTGATGGCGACGACGATGTCGGCTACGAGGATGATGATGATGGTGATGATGATGATTATATATGCTGATGCTGATGCTGCTGCTGATGATGATGCTGATGACGATGGTGATCCTGATGATGATGATTATGATGCTGATGCTGATGCTGATGATGATTCTGATGATGAGCATGATGCTGATGATGATGAGGATGATGATGATGATGATGATGAGGATGCGGATGACGATGACGATGACGAGGATGACGACGTTGATGATTATGGTTTTGATGCTGGTGATGATGATGATGATGCTGATGCTGATTATGATCATGATGATGCTGATGATGATGATGATGATGATGATACTGATGATGATGATGATTCTGATGATGATGATGATGATGATGATGATGGTGATATTGGTGATGATGCTGATTATGCTGATGATCCTGATGACGCTGCTGATGATGAGTATAATGATGCTGTCACTGAAACGGATACTGATAATGATGATGCTGCTAATGATGCTGATGATGATGTTGATGCTGATGCTGATGCTGACGATGATGACGCGATGATGATGACGATGATGATGCCGATGATGATAATGATGCTGATGAGGATGATGATGCTGATGATGATTATGATGATGATGATGATGATGGTGATGATGATGCCGAGGGTGATGCTCATGATACTGCTGATGATGATGAGTATGATGATGGTGTTACTGAACATGATAATGATAAGGATGATGCTGCTGATGATGATGTTGATGCTGATGCTGATGCTGATGCTGACGATGATGACGCGATGATGATGACGATGATGATGCTGATTATGCTGATGATGGTGATGATGACGATGCTGATGGTGACGATGATGGTGGTGATGATGATGGTGATGGTGATGCCGACGACGACGGTGATGGCGACGACGATGTCGGCTACGAGGGTGGTGATGATGGGGATGATGATTGTATATGATGGTGCTGCTGATGATGATGCTGCTGCTGATGATGATGCTGATGACAATGGTGACACTCATGATGATGATAATGATGCTGATGATGCTGCTGATACTGATGATGATGCTGATGATGATGACGATGACGATGACGATGATGACGACGATGATGATACTGTTGATGACGTTGATGTTGATGATGCTGTTGATGCTGATGATTGCCAGGATGAGGATGCTGATGATAATGATGATCATTATGATGCTGATGATGGTGGTGATGATGGTGCTTATGATGATCCTGATGATGCTGCTGATGATGATGAGTATGATGATGCTGTTACTGAAACTGATAATGATGCGGGTGATGATTCTGGTGATGACGATGATGATGCTGATGCTGATGTTGATGACGCGATGCTGATGATGACGATGATGATGCTGATGATGGTGGTGATGCTGCTGCTGATGATGATGGCGATGATGATGTCGAATATGATGATGCTGATGGTGATGGTGATGGTGATGATGATGATGATGATGATGATGATGATGATGGTGATGATGGATGATGATGCTGATGATAATGATGATGATGATGATGATGATGATGATGATGATGATGATGATGATGATGATGATGATGATGTGAACATCATCATCATGATCATCATAATCATCATCATCATCCTCACTCAATCACTGCATCGACATTGCAGCATTGTCACCAGCAGCAGTCATGCACTCCTCGGGGCTGCGCCAGGGCTGCAGCTCTTGAGAAGTCCGTCGAACCGGTCTCGCCTGCCCGTGCACGGTCGGGCATGGGCGAGCCTGTGCCGCTGATGCGGGCGGCCCGCTCAGCGGGCGGCCCGCTCAGCAGCAGCACGCCGGACAGGTCTGTGAACAAGCTATTTTGTGCTCTAGCGTCTGGGGGTCGCTGGCCGTCCGTGTCGTAAGGTCGATCCAGGGAGGATCGTCATATCGGAGCCTGGGCCTAGGAGACGGCCAATGACGATCCCTCCCTCGTTAAGGATCCTGTCACGTCTTACATTGCGCACCCAATCGTAACAAGTTTTTTCCTAGCCTTCTCCTTCGATGAGGTGATCTCGCGACCTTTTTTTTTCTCGAAAAAATAGCAATGTCTGCGTCCAAAAATCCTAAGCGCAACATGCCAGCCATTCTTCCAGAGCTCAAAGCTAATCTGCGCGCAAGCCTCTCAAGCTCAGCAGGACTCACATCTTGTTCAGATCGTCCAAAAGCTTGCGCACTTCCCGCTCCAGCGGGCCCTTGGGAGGCGGGCCTGACTTGAACTCCGCGCTTGCCACGCGCAGAGCCTTGAGCACCGCCCTCTCGATGTCCTTCCACTGGTTGCTGATGCACAGTGTGATGCGCACCTTGTTGCCGATTTCTCTCTTCTTGCGCGTCTGCCTGCACTGGCAGCGCCTCACCTGCTCCGCCACCTCCAGCAACGGCTTGGTGAGTGTCACATCAGGCCAAACAGAGCTCAACACTTTCTTGTACTCCTCCTCGAGCTCCGCCAACCTGCAGGCCATCCTCACCAGCTCCTTGAAGACGTGGAGTAAGGGAGGACCCAGCAAGTCGGCCTCGCCCTTGGGCTTCACCTTGAGCTCCTTCGCCGGCGCATGGCAGTCCTTGCCGGCCTGGATCATCCCCTTCGCGATCACGTTGTCCGCCGCCAGGAGCACTGTGTAGCACGTCGCCCCGATGAGATCGCGCACCTCCGCGGGCTGGGTGAGCGCCAACGCCGCCAGGAGCACCACCACCTCCTCGATTTTCTCCCTCTTGGTAGCGTTAAAGTCGGACCTGTCCCTCTACAGGAGGAAAATTCAAACATAGTCAAACATAGTGTGGGGACTGTTTTTCTTTTATTTATTGCCCAGTGTTGAATATATTTGGATGATTTTCAGTTTTTCCTCCAGAATCTGCCCGTTGGGGGACATGCCCGAGCAAATGGTAGTGGCCTTCGCGCTCGCCGCGACGAGGTGCCGCTCGACATCGCCCTCGGCGGTGGAGGCCTGGGCAGCGCGGGCCATGCCGCCAAGGAGCGTGGCTCGGAGCTCGTGCAGCCCAGGAAGAGTTTGAGCCTGAAGGCTACTGATATTACGCTCCAGGACTGGTGGAACCATCACCTCACCAACAGATCTCAGAGAAGAGCGGTGCCTGGGCCGAACAGCACCAGCCCGGAGGTGATGCAGAACCGCAAGACGAGACGAGAAGACATCACGGCAAACAGGGCATTGATTCGTTACCACCAGGCTCGACCATACATCTCCCTTGTTTGTGATGCTTCTGGGTATGCATCAACCACCCTCCTCGAATTCCTGGGCCCACCGATTCGCCGACGGACTCAGACACCCTGATCGATACATCGTTTCTTCATTTTCAAAAGGCAGTCCCCCAAAGTGAGCATTCAACCATTGTTGATGCTTGTGTGGGCACATCGCAACATGCTGAAGACGCTTCAGCCTACGAGCACGAAGCTCTACCCCAATAGACGACACCCTCCAGAAGGCACGAACCCGATGAGAAGTCCACGGAGAATGAGCCTCCCCATCAACTCGATGCGAGAGCCTTCCTGTACAGGGAGTCCAGGACCGAACCGCGTTCTTTGTTTGCGCCTCAGTCGGAATAAAAGCCTTTAGACTCTGAGCCGCCGCCCCTTTGGAAGGGGGGCCTCTTGGCATACGAGAAGCCACCCCAATGATCATCCCAATGAACATCGACCCCAATGATCATCGACCTCGTTGGAAGGGGGGACCACCCCAATGATCATCGACCTCTTTGGAAGGGGGGGCCCTCTTGGCATACCGGAAGCCACCCTGGGAGTAGCTCGCCCAGTGTCTGCAGCAGCCCGCCTAGCACCCTTTCTTTCTCTAGCGCGGGACACGCCACGACGCCCCTCGGCTACAACTGGTGCCCCAAGATTCCGACCCGCTGGAACCACTTCTTCCGAGGTGGGAATTGTTCATGACCACCGCCTGGAGCAATTTTCGGGGACCTCGGCAGGCGGTGGACATGGATAGATTCGGGCCCCTGGGGGCTAGCATATATCCATATCCACCGCCCGCTGGGGCACCAGGACGTCAGTTCCCAGGCGGTGGATATGGATAAATCCCAGCCTCGCACTTCTCCTGGAAACACAGCCTCACGACGTCTGAGTATGTGGAAATCGGCATCGGCACCTTCGCCCATTAGACTCAGCATCATTTTTTTTTTTTTTTTTTTTTTTTTTTTTTTTTTTTTTTTTTCTCGTGTTTTGCATGGCACCATCAGTGAGCACGGCTTCCGAACATAAGGAAGACTTCCGTAGCGCGTTCGGAAGAGGCGCATGGTGATGATGTTGATGATGTTGCTGCTGTTGATGATGATGTTGATGCTGATGATGAGGATGATGCTGATGCTGCTGCTGATGATGATGCCTATGATGATGGTGATACTGATGATGACGCTGATGATGATGCTGATTCGGATGATCCTGATTATGGTGATGATGACGATGATGATGGTGATGCTGATCATGATAAGGATGACGGGGTGGTGACTATGAGGATGCCGATGATGATGCTGATGCTGATGCTGATGATGATGCTGATGATGAGGAGGATGATAATGAGGTTGAGGATGAGGATGACGATGACGATGAGGATGATAATGATGCTGCTGCTGCGGATGATGATGCTGATGCTGATGATGCTGTTGTTGATGATGCTGATGACGCTGAGGCTGCTGCTGCTGATGATGCTGCTGATGATGATGCTGATGCTGATGCTGCTGATGATGATACTGATGATGATGCTGATGATGATGATGATGATGATGATGATGATGATGATGCTGATGATGCTGATGATGATGATGATGCTGATGATGATGATGCTGCTGATGATGATGATGATGATGATGCTGCTGCTGCTGCTGATGATGATGATGATGATGATGATGATGGCGATGGTGATGGTGATGGTGATGGTGATGATTAGGATGAGGAGGGGGAGGAGGAGGAGGAGGAGGAGGAGGAGGAGGAGGAGGAGGAGAATGAGGAGGGATTTTGCCTCGTAGGCTTTCGGCTCCGCCCAGGATCCCGCACCCAGGGCTTACCCCAGAGGTCCCCCAGAGGCGCCCGAAGCCTCCCAGAGGCCCCAAACGTTGCATACGTGGCGTCCACGCGCTTCCCCGAAGAGCCCGACGGCCTCCCTCCTCGGCCCTCGAGGGGCGCGGGCAAAGGCAACGCCCTGGCAGTGTGATTCATCACTTGTCGCTGCATCCTCCCTCCTCCTGCTCCTCTATGTGATCGTTTTTTATTCATTGTTTTGCCGATCGGCGCGGGTCCTCGCCCCCCCCTCTTGTGGAGTAGATCTTGGTTGTTTTTTGGCGCCTGTTTCGAGCGGGTGGAGTCTCCCCCATAGGACGCACGGTCCCAACCAATCGCACTAAGCAGAGATCTGGAGCCAAGCCCCCCTCCCCCCCCTTCCGCCCAATGTCGAAACGCCGAATGAAACAAAACAACTATCCTGCCTCCTCCTCTCCTCGTCCTACTCTGATCTGGAGGGCTGTTTGCCCTCTGCGGCGCCCCCCCCACTTCAGAGTAATTGCCTGGCCACGCTCGGCTGACAGGTGGGGGTGGATTTTCTTGTCGGTTGACTGGCTGGCAAGTCGGCTGATTGGCATGCTGACTGACTGGAAGTATGGACCTCCAACTCGAAACAGACGCCCAATCTCGAAAACGCGAGGGCCAGAACAAAACGCAGGCTCCTCGAGACTTTGGGGAGGGAGATTTCGGGGTAGGGTTTTACCAGGGGGACAACGACAAACGCAAGCCATACCTCGAAGTCTGTGGCCGATCTTCGAGTCCTCGGTTAACCCGCGATTTTGAGATCGGGAACGTGTTTTTTCTTGGCCAATGGACCATGGATTTGGGCAGGGTTCTGGATGGCTGATTGCGCGCGCCCGCAATCTTCGACGAGGGCTCGTGGCCCTGGGAGCGCGCCTCCATTGTACTCTCGAGGTTGGAGGCCTCGTGAGCGCACGCCCTGAGTGATCTGCGAGGGTGCCTGGCCTCGTGTACCGGGCCGAGTTTTGAGGGAACGACGGCGGGGCCGACGAGCGCCTCCCGAACACATATGAGGCGTTCCAGAGAGGGCCTTGCCTTTGAGGATCGAAGGAGTCGTCATCTCTTCCTCGGCGGAAGGCGGCGGAAGGGCGGCGGAAGGGCGGCGGAAGGTCGGCGGAAGTAAAGCGAGGCCGCCTCCGCCGGCGGAAGCTCGGCGGAGCGCGGCGGTAGTAAAAAATGCGTCCCCAAGAGATTTAAACGTTTTTGGGTGCAGTGTTTCCGAAACCCGCCCTATGTATCCCAGGACACGACAGCTCCTCTGCTCTGCAACGGAGTCTGCGCTTTTTGGTAGGCAGCCTCCGTGGGGTGGGCTCGTGGCATCGGGGGCGCACGCGTGCTGCCTATCTGCAAGGGGGCGTGGCTTCGGGAGAAAGCAAGCCTGCGGCAGTGCGTAAGGGATGGTGGCATCGGGCGTGCGAGCCTTGTGTGATTTATAAGCGTCATGGTGCCAACATCGCAGAGCGGATTTCGTTCGAAAATCGATCGGATGGGTTAGGAGTGTCCTGGATAATCTCGTTCCGGATTTCGAGGTGGATTTCGTGCGGATTATTTTGGGTCAGGAATGAAGACTAAACATATGCACGTGAAGTTCACTTCGTCTTTCACTCGCCGTTTCGGGGTCTTGCATTGGCAGAAATCCACGCAAAAATCCGCTGCAGCACGTCTGCAAGGTCGGTGCAGTGACAAGCGGCTTCGGTTCGTGGAGCGGGAGGCTGGTATCATTTTCTAGGGATTCGGGCCTGGGGTGCGCCAGCGCGCAGTAATGTCTAAAGTATTGTGGTGTCGGGGGGGAAGGCTTGTCATAATTCATCCAAGGTTGTTGCTTCGGGAGCGCGTATCGGGTGGAGTGTTGGAGGGGCTATAGCTTTGGGAGGGCGAATCTGGTGCAAGTGACGCGGGGATGTGGCCCCGAGGGACGCCAGCGCGTAAGAAGTAGCAGTGGCGTGTAGCTTCCAGGGTGTAAGCTGATAGCGGCTTGCGCTGAATTTGGAGCGCGAGCCTGGCGCCATTCACAGGGCCGAGTGCGAGTCGGGAGTGCCCGGCGAAAGGATTGCGGCCTCGGGCGTGCGACTGCGTCGTGGAAGCTGCGAGGGGGCGTGGCCTCTGGAGCGCGAGCGCGATGTGTTCTCGTACCTCCCAGGGCACCCCTGGGAATCGCGACGTTTTGGGGCAGGGGAGGGAGCTGGAACATTTTTGGGCTCTGCCCCCCTCGTGCGGCCTTCAATCCTGCAACAGTCGGCCTAGAACGTGCAAACATCTACAGCTATAGCTTGGGATCTGGAACTGGTGCAGGGAAGCGGAGCGCCTACGCGTTACAGCCCGCTGGCTGGGGACTGCCTTCGGGTCCTAGGACGGTCAACAAGCAGATCACAATGAAAGCTAGTCCCTTAACAGGAGTTGCGAGGTCCGGTGCCCGCGTATGGGAGAAACACGGCGTCGTATGCTCGGGAGTTGATCCCTGGCCAGAAGGGTACGAGAACACAGTACAGTAGGTCCATGGGTACGTTCGTCGGCCATCTTTCACCATCCTACGGTGTCCCTGGACCTCAGAGGGTCGCCTGGCCTTCAAGGGCCACGACGTTTCCGTGCACGTCTCTGCCGTATCCCGCTGGCCGCCCACGCGACTTGCCACCCGGTCGGGTCTCTGCAGTCGCCTGGCCTGCAAGTACTTCGGCAGCAAATTGCAGCCGTAAGCTGTGGTGCAGGTAGTGTGTCCCCATTGATGTGTGCGCCTGTGCGCCACCCCCCAACAAAAAGGAGAAATCAAAGTTACCTGGCCTGTGGCGAGAGCGGCACCACTTGGCTCCAGTTCATCCTGTACACGCTGTGCACCAAGGGGGGCAGGGAGCTCGACCACATCAGCAACTACGTGCCCTTCCTTGAAAATGACAAATCCTTCGAGTTCGACCAGGCAGGCAAGGAACAACACTAACAACAACACCAACCATAACAACAACAATCACAACACCACAATAAACAACACCAACAACAAACACAACAACAGCATCAACAAACACAACAACAGCATCAATCATTATAAGACTGTTCGCTCTTACTTGCCCGTGTGCCATTCAAAACGAGTTCCCCACACCCTCGATACCCGCCCTTTGTGTCTTCGATCACATCCCCTTTGGGGGGGGTCCTTTCTCTTTGCGGGGGGCGGCGGGCTCAGACAGGCGGGCAAACCTGAGCGGGCATTGGAATTGGTGTGGGCCCTGCAAAAAGAGGAGGGGGAGAACGGGGGATAGTGGGAGGAAGGGAGGGGGAGGGACGAAGGAAGAGGGAACACGCCAGGAGAGAAGGAGCGAAGAGGGGGGTGGTTGATTGGAGGCAGAGAGAGAGAGGGATATCTCTCTATATATATAGAGAACACACAAAGTAAACACATATAAGAGAGGTAGAGAAAGAGAGAGCGAGAGAGAGAGAGGGGGGAGAGAGAGAGAGAGAGAGAGAGAGAGAGAGAGAGGGAGAAAGAAAGAAAGAGGGAGGGAGGAGGCAGGAGAGGGGAGGGATAAGGGAGGAGGGAGAGGAGGGAGAGGGGATAGGGCAGAGAGGCATACGGATGAGGGAAACGAGGAGGGAGAGAGAATGGAGGAGAGGAGGGAGGAGGGAGGAGGGAGAGGGAGGAGGAGGAGCAGGAAGGTAAGAGCGTGAACGTTCGAGGAAGTCCTAGGCGAAAGTGCCGTTCCTGAAGGAGGTCTCGGGCGGGAGGGAGCCCACGACGGGCGGGCGATCCCCTGACGGGCGGGTCGGGCGGGTGGGACATTCCAGCGGGATGCCTGCGTATGGCGAGAGCGCGGTTACTAAGTAAATCATAACGGCGTCCTTGGCGCAGCGTGTTTCCTGAGCGTCGAAAGCGTGATTTCTGAATACACTGCATGGAAGTCACAGGCGAGAGCGCAATTCCTGAATAACATGTGAGGGGCTCTCTGGCGGGAGCGGGGGTCTTGATTAAATTGCGAGGGCGTCTTGGCTCAATTGCGAGGAAGTCTCCAGCGGTAGCGCCGTTCCTGAGTAAATTGTGAGGCGGTCTCAGATGGGAGTGGGGGTCCAAATTTAATTGCGAGGAAGTCACAGGCGGGAGCACCGATCCTGAGTAAATTGTGAGGAAGTCTTAACAGCGGGGGTCTTGAGTAAATTTGGAGGAATTCTCAGGCGGGAGCCGTTGTTGTTGTAATCCGGGGGGCCGGGGGCCCAGTTTGAGCACGAAAACTTCCCCTGTCAAAAAAACAAGGTGCGAGCGTCGAGGGGCACATTTGGATCGAGAAAAAACAGCATGCACCGGTGATGGGGGGATCAACAATAATAACTCTTCAGAAATGAGAGCTCAACAACAACAACAACAACGACACCACTGACAACACCAACACCAACATCAATACCCACATCAACGACACCACCACCAACAACGGCAGCAACAACAACACCAACACCAACACCACTAGCAACACCAAAAACAGCAGCAACAACAACAGCATCACCAACGAAACACAACATCGATCAGGCAGGCGCCAGCAGGGTTGCCGCGCAGTTCGCCTCTGGCCATGCGGCCATAGGCTGGAGGCTCTTCAACACGCACCTGTGGTGGGACATGCTGCCGAAGGGCCCCGAGGCGAAGTACATCTACGTGGTGCGCAGCGCGAAGGACGTTGTCTTTTCTTTCTACGCCCACTTGTCGCACCAGGCGCTGAGCGACGGGGGCTTCAGTGGCAGCTTCGAGGAGTTCTTCATTGAATGGTGTGCGGGCAAGATACCATTCGGACCTTGGGCAGATAGCCTGAAGTCGTTCATGGTAGATACGAATCAAGGGTTGCAAGCTGCCGCACGAGATGAACGTATATTGATATTATCGTACGCCGAGCTCAAGAACGACATAGGCTCTGCAGTGAGAAGGATAATCTCCCACTGCAACGTTGACATATCTGAGGCCGAGATAGAGAAGTGCCTGCCCCGCTTCGACATCTCCTACATGAAGGCCAACAACGCCAAGTTCGAGCCAAGGTCGGTCAGGTGGGAGGACAAGGGCGACGGCTTCCAGTTCATCCGCCACGGCCAGTCCGGGGACGGCCAGAGGGCGTTCAGCGCCGCGCAGGACGCGGCCTTCGCGGACATGCTGGCGAGCTCGTTCCCGGACGGCATCCCCTCGGTGATGCGCGAGTTCTGCGGCTGAGCACGCCCGCGCCCGCCGCTCCCGCGTGGGCCCTGGCGGAGCGCGCGGCCTCGCCCCGCGCGCCGCTCGGAGACCTCCCATGGGGTGGCGCCTGCGCCCCCTCTTCCGGGGAGCCGTGACTCCTGGTTCCAGTGGAAGAAGAAAAGTTCGGTGTGGGGGCGGCATGTCAAAGTTTTGGCCTCCACTTCTGGGGAGCCGTCGGAGGTGGATAGACCTCCTGCCCTGACACGTCGATTAAGGAATTGGCCGTTTTCGGCCCGCGGGAGGGCGTCGCGGCCGTCCTTTTTGCGGGTCCAGGTCCGTCGGTTTCGGTCCCAGGCCGTTTTCGCTAAGGGGAGGTTTGCTAAAGGGAGGTTTGTCCACCGCCGAAGCCGTGACTCTTGGTTCCATTGGAAGAAGAAAAATTCGGTGTGGGGGCGGCATGTCAAAGTTTTGGCCTCAAAAAAAAATGTCGCACAGCAAAACAAAAGTCCGCGCCAGCAAGGCCAGGATGGGTTGTCGGGAGCGTCGCCGCGATCCGTTGCACGGTGGGGTCGCCGTTGAAAACTTGTCATTGACATGCCGTCTTCTGAAAGCGGCATGAACATGAACCGTCGGAGGTCAACGCGGGCTTTTTCGATCGGCGCTGAGCCCCCTGCCTGGCGCGCGAAAAGTGCGCCAGGGGCGGCGCTTGAGAGGCGCCGCCGGGTGGGTCTGGCGCCGGTCCAAGAGATTCGCGCAGACCTCCGACAGTGAAAGCTTTTGCAGCTTGTTGTTCCTGCATCCAGTAAGTAGCCATCGAGCTCATGTTTTGAATGCTTCTGCCTCCCAACTCGCGCGCTTTCACTGACTGCACGACTCGTCCTCGGGCCCGCCCTGCTCTCGGACTGGTGCAGCCTCTAGGTCCGACGCCGCGAAAAAGCTACAGCGCAGTGAAGCATCACAAATTCGGGCTCTCGGCCACCATCCCTCTGCCATATGCTTTTAGCTAGATCGATTTGTGAAGGTTTCCGTGACCGGAGCGGGAGGAGAAGGCACGTCATGTTTGTTCATGGCACCCAGCGCTCTGCTGACTCCTCTGTGGCCGTGCGCTCAGTGAGGCATGCGTGAGAAGGCTGCGTGCACATAATCATGTCAGTACGCGTGCGGCCGACCGTGTGAACCAGAGAAACAAGGGGCTAGCCCTCTACCGTGCCGTCCTGCCAGGCTCCTCTGTGCAAGCCTCTTTCCACCGCTCTTCTCCTTGCAGTCTCCTGAGTTTTGAGGGGGCTCGGGAGTCGTTCTCTAACGAACGTTCGCTGTCAAGTGTGACAGCATTTCATCTGTCAACTATTGCTGCCGCTGTCTAATTTCAAGTTGACGTCGCCAGTCCAGAGCATTGAATCATGGGCACATTTGTTCGAGCAACCTTGCAATCAACATCCAAGCTTGCAAGGATGATTCATTCCGTCGACGCCCGAAGGAGGACGACGACGACAGCTTGGTGAAGTCTGGGGAGGCGAAGGTGGATGCGTTCGTCAAGAAATTGGGCTGGGAACAGGCAGGCAAGTCGTTGATGGGCCTCCTGGAACACTGCATCGCTACCCAACGGTGGCTGGATTCTGTGATTGCGCAATTCTGCCTTCTTCTGCTTTCGTTGTACTTATCCCTGTACCCCTTCATCGGCTACCTCACTTCCCGTCATATGTCCTTCCTCTGTGCCGCTCGCCTCATTTCACGCGTCCCTCACGTTCTCAGTACCTCTCTCTCTCTCTCTTTCTGTCTCTCTCTCTCTCTCTCTTTCTTTTTGTTTCTTGTCTCATATTATACGATGTGGTCATTGTTGTTAATGTGACGCCTCCGCCTTCTCACTCACTCGCTTCACTCTTCACTTCTTCTTCTCCTCGCCCTTCTTTCCTCCTTCTCCTCGCCCAGTCCCGCCTTTCGCACACTCGTATCCACTCGGACCCACTCATACTCAGATCCACTCATACTCATACTCACTCACATTAGGACTCGTTCATATTCAATTTCATTCATGCTCAGACCCACTCATACTCAGGCTCACTCGCACTCAGACCACTCATTCTCAGACACACTCACTCTCAGACCCACTCATACTCAGATCCACTCACGCGCAGGCTCATCCACACCCAGACCCAGTCATATCCAGACTTTCTGATGTTCAGATTCACTCACGCTCAGGCTCACTCATACTCAGAGTCCCTCACACGCAGACCCACTCGCTCTCAGACTCTCATTCACACCCAGTCTCATCCACACTCGTGCTCACTTCCATTCGGACTCGCTGTCTTCTTTGGTGTTCCAGTACCCACCGCGAAATATAGCAGGCGTGGCACGCAGGCATCCCAGGGATGAGCCGACGGGGGTGGGGACGCTCCCGTCTTCGCCTCCAGATTGCGGAGATGTCTCGGCTGTGCCTGCTTGGGTGCCCAGACTTTTTGTTGCGTTCAAAACAGACTGTGAGGACATCTCAGGCGGCTCGCCGGTTTTCACCCCCCCAAGCGGTAGCTGCCAGGGGTGCTTTCGCGGTCCCGTTCGCGCCCAGATTGTGGGGACGTTTCAGGCGGTCTGCTTGTCTGGTTGCGCAGGCCTGCGTTGTTTTTGCAGGGCGGACCGCGAGGACATCTCCGCAACTCTGCCGGTGTCAGCACTCCTTGGGGCATCCGCCAGGGTGGGTTCACTCCCCCGTTCCGCGCCCAGGTTGTGGGGGAGGGCTCTTGCGGTTCCGCCAGGGGTGGTTTCAGGGATCACGCCCAGATTGTGTGGGGATCTCTCAGGCGGTTTGCTGGTTTGGTGGCGCAGACTCCTTTGCTTCCCGAGCAGAATCTTTGGATGTCTACGCCGATTTGCTTTCAAAACGGATTGTGAGGCTGTCTCAGGCGAGGGGCTGGTTTTGGCACTCCAAGGGGTGGGGGGCCGCCAAGGCCGGATCGCGCCCAGATGGCTGGGATGCCTAAGGCGGCGTGCCTATTTTGGCTTGCCAATTTTTCCCTACCTAGGCTCTGCCTAGAAGGGTTCTTACTCTCTTGGCTTAAACCGGGCAGTGGGAACCGGCCCGGGCGGTTCCCCCAGCATCCGCCCCGCGGTTCCCCCAGTTACGTCCCCTTAGCTTTAGCTTTAGCTTTAGCTTTAGCTTTAGCATTAGCTTTAGCTTTAGCTTTAGCTTTAACTTTAGCTTTAGCTTAGCTTTAGCTTAGCTTTAGCTTAGCTTTAGCTTAGCTTTAGCTTAGCTCTAGCTTAGCTTTAGCTTAGCTTTAGCTTAGTTTTAGCTTAGCTGTAGCTTAGCTTTAGCTTAGCTTTACCGTTACTACTAATGCTGATTTCCTAGGGGCTCCAACTCCTAGGTAGGGTCGCACTGGGATGCTTTGTTTTCAAAGTAGGTTGTGAGGATGTCGTGAGCGAGGCGCCAGCTTCAGCATCCCAAGGGGGGGGCCGCCAGGGAGCAGCTTGTGAGGAAGTCTCGAGCGAGGCGCTGGTTTCGGCCCTTCCTCCCTCCTCCTCCTCCTCCTCCTCCTCCTCCTCCTCCTCCTCCTCAAGCGGGGAGCCGCCAAGGGGAGCAGGACGCCCGCCCGTTCGCTGCCAGACTGTGTGGGGGTGTCTTGGGCGATGCGTTCGTTTTTTGCAAGTCGGACCCAGAGCCCCATGTGATCACCCGAGGATCGGGAACAAGACGGCCGCCGGGGAAGAGCCGGGAGGACGGACTCGGGAGCCTCGAGACGGGGGTCAGTGCAGACGGGGGTCAGCCAGATCGCCGGATCTTGCAGGATCCTGCAGCGCCAGGGTCGCATTGACCCGGGTTTGGGTGCAGGATCCTGCAGGATCCTGCAGGATCCTTCGCATTGACCCGGGTTTGGGTGCAGGATCTTGCAGGATTGTGTAGGCCTGATTGACCCGGGTCTGGATTGACCCGGGTCAGAAGATCCCCGACGGACGAGGAATGAGGAGGGAGCAGAAGGAGAGAGAAGGGAGGAAGGAGGAAGAGAGCGGAGGGGCTACGGCGAGGAGGAGGGGGAAGAAGGACATGGGGAGGGGGCCGCCAGGACGCAGGAGGAGGGATAAGGACGACCGCGAGGGAGGATGAGAGAGGACGGAGGAGGAGAGAGGCTGACCCAGGAGGAGGGGAAAGGGCGGAAGGAGGAAGAGCAGGGAGAAGGTACGAGGAGGAGGAAGAGGACGGAGAGGGAAGGGATCTGTTCACCCTCCCTGTTTGTGAGTTGTTGTCATCGTCGCCGCTGTCCCTCATCATAACCGCCGCCGTCGTCGTTGCCGTCGTCGTTCCCGTCGTCCACTTGGATTCGGTTTCAGAGCCAGACACTTACAGCCAGACGCTCACGGCGGGAAGTGCCAGGAATTCAGATGTACATGCGGGGCATACATATGCACATGCTTTATGTATATAGGATCGTTTCGTTCGTTCGTTTGTTATGTGTTTGTTGTTGTTTTATATTGTTGTTGTTATCTTTCTCTCTCTCTCTCTCTCTCCCTCTCTCTCACACACTCATTCACTTCACGACTCCATTCCTCAAGTCTATCTGTATCCCCCTGAGGTATCTCCATCCTCCCCAGTCCCCGTAGTGTGTGTGTAGCTATCTATGTGTGTGTGTGTGTGCGTGCGTGCGTGCGTGTGTGCGTACGTGCGTGCGTGCGTGCGTGCGTGCGTGCGTGCGTGCGCGTGTGTGTGTGTGTGTGTGTGTGTGTGTGTGTGTGTGTGTGTGTGTGTGTGCGTGCGTGCGTGCGTGCGTGCGTGCGTGCGTGCGTGCGTGCGTGCGTGTGCGTGCGGCGTGCGTGTGTGCGTGTGTCCCTTGCGAAATGAATGTGTGTGTTGTGTGTGTGTGTGTTGTGTGTGTGTGTGTGTGTGTGTGTGTGTGTGAGTGTGTGTGTGTGCGTGCGTGGGTGCTTGTTTGTGTGACCTTCGCCCGGCGGAATTCCTGCGATAGCTCCCGGGCCTTGCCGTCGCTCGCTGCGGTGCCGCCACCCAGCAGCCGGAAGCAACGACCCGTGCGTGCGTGTGCGCGTGT